TATGTACATATAAATACACATATTTAAGAAATACATGTAATATATACACAATATAAATCATACATAAATATGAACACACACACGTAAACATTTCTTAAATATATACATGTATGTGTATTTATATACATATAAATATATAACACACATCATGTAAACAAACATATTTTGGATGCAATTAATCGATTTGACAGCCCTACTTAATTTATACATTTGTTTTTGTAAAAATCAAATTCAACAATCCCACAACCTCCACTAACAAATCTCTGTGAATGCATCCACGCCGACCATTAATTTTCATAAGATGTAAAGTGACTAATTTCTACAGCATATTTTTCCCCATAAACTGATGCATTTTTATTATATATCTGGATCAAAATTGTGATTATCACTTAGATCATTTTAATATGACACCAGTGAAACATCTGGACCTTACCTTAATGAACAAGTATTTTTCATTACTCAAACGTTTCATCTAAAAGCTAATGGTTAAATCATTTTTGGTTAAAAACAGTTTTATAGACAAATAACAAACGGTCAATAAACTGGGGGGGGGGGGGGGGGGGGAGAGAAAAGCAGTTACCAGGCATCATGGACATGTAAAAACTCTTTTGGTTTTCTTCAGAAAATCAACACTATTTATTAGTTTTATATATTCCTTTTAATTATTATTAACTCAACATGGTAAAAAAAAAAAAAAATGAGAAGATATATATAATAAAATATTAATAAAATAAGTGCAGGTTCCTAAAAAAAAATTTAAAAAAAGTTTGTAAAATAAACAGCAGTTTAAAAAAAAACTAAAATAAGAACATTTGTGCAGTAATGAAAAGCCATTTGGTAGCAGAATGCAATGTTACCCAGTAAAACCACCAGACTTTTAGTTTGTGCCTACCAAATTTATACACCTAAAGCATTGATGTGTGCATAAAATTCTCTTACTTCCAACACAGCACGTTCACCATTAATCTCTCCCCTTATTTTCCTAAGAAGAGGACAAAATTATTTTTTCTTGGGAGGGAACTGTAAATCCCTGTCTGGGTTCATTTAAAAGGCTTAAAATGTCACTAAATGACAAATTAGAAGCTTCCTCTAGCGTTTTAAGACGAGATGTAGTGGCATCCGAAAGTTACCTGGAAATGAGGTTAACGCGCAGTGAGCGTTGTGGTCATTAAAAACGTCAACGTCTCATTACCCATCACAGATCTTGCCATGAGATCTCAACAGCAATTCAACTGTATAGCATCAAAGCATCTGTTCACCGCAAAGCATCACAGGAAAGAGCTCCCATGCTGAGAATTTCAACTTAATACATTTCAACGGATTCTAGCTGCTAGGAGTTGTGTGCCAACGCAGGACATCTAGTGAGCCAGCTCAGATTGTGGGTGAAAAGAGACTTTGGCATTTGTGAAGAGTTTCCATATGTATCACTTCTGTTGTGGGGCCCGTTCCACTGATCCACGAAACCAGCCGAAAGGATAAAGCAGCGAGTCTCTGTGCCAGTGTAAGGAGCAGGAGCTCTTGTGAACGTGTAAAGAAGGAAAAGTTGCCTTGCCTCTGAGCAGAGTCGGGCAAAATCCTGCATTGGTGCTGATAACATGCTTGGATTAGGGATGTTTAAGGGAAGGGAAAATTATTCATTTGAGATGGAAAGCGCCAGGGCCTTAACAGGCCCCCATCAAAATTTAGACACTGAACATGTTCTTGCATTTGCAGAGCATGTGATACAAGATGAAATGACACACTTTCTGTTCAGTGCAGTGCTGTGACATCTCTGTCAGGAGTTGTGTGCCAACGCAGGACATCTAGTGAGCCAGCTCAGATTGTGGGTGAAAAGAGACTTTGGCATTTGTGAAGAGTTTCCATATGTATCACTTCTGTTGTGGGGCCCGTTCCACTGATCCACGAAACCAGCCGAAAGGATAAAGCAGCGAGTCTCTGTGCCAGTGTAAGGAGCAGGAGCTCTTGTGAACGTGTAAAGAAGGAAAAGTTGCCTTGCCTCTGAGCAGAGTCGGGCAAAATCCTGCATTGGTGCTGATAACATGCTTGGATTAGGGATGTTTAAGGGAAGGGAAAATTATTCATTTGAGATGGATGAAAAGCTGCACTTGTCAAGTCTCCTAGTCATGCACTTTCCATCTCATTCCCAGTAGCCAGCGTGCATATTTTCCCCTCAATGCAAATGTACACACAGTGAAAATGTGAGCACATTACCCCCTCTCTTTAAATACACCAAATGACACAGAGACTCAATGAACTTTTCCCTGCGAAAAATAATTTCAGGGTGGGTAACTGGAGTTTACTGTGTGATCAGAAGAACGGCTTTTTATAGACATATTTACTAAACGAAACCCTTAAATTGGGAGGATTGGGTACACCAGTGGAAATCAGTTTAGTTTTCAATGAGGGGCCGGGACCTGCTAGGGGGCCTCAGCACACAACAAAATGGCTTAGAATATTATTTAGACTACTTAAAACACCAAGCTTTAAAATTAGCTAAAAATCTACATGTAAGCTCATGTACTTATTATTTTAATATAACTTTAATGTCTAATTTATGAACCAGTATTCCCATGTCTTGGAAAACTGGGATATGAAATTAATTTTAAAAGTATTGTTTTTAGACCTGGAAAAGTCATGAAAATGAATAACATTTTGAAGTATGGATTTTTTTTAAAATAATGAATATTTGTCAGTAACTTTACAATTAGGTCCAATTGAATTTTAGTTAATGCATTAATAATCAACAATACATTTGTTACAGTATTTATTAATCTTTGTTAACACTGAATAAAAATACAACTGTTCATTGTTCATGTCAGCTCAGGTCTATAAAATATTAACAGACGCAACTTTAGATTTTTATAATGTATTATTAAATGCTGCAATCAACGTTAAGATTAATACATTCTTTTAAAGCATTAGCTGAATTAGCAAAATGCTTCTACAAAGCTTAATGTTAAGAAATAGAACCTTATCGTAAAGTGTTACCAATTCTTCTAGTTATGTCAAGTTCTAAAATAATTTTATCGGGGAAATTGCTATTTGTGAGTTAAATAATTTAAACGCAATTGCAAATGACTAGAAAAATCATTACAAATTCCATAATGGACTTATGGAATTTAATTTAAATTTATACAATTATTTTAATACATAGCCACTCCTACTAAATGTAAATAAATAAAAATAAACAAATAAAAAGTTTGATAATGAGCCTTGCCAATACAGAAGTAGTACCAGAAAAACCTTGAGGGGGCCTTCGAGTCAAAAAAAGGTTGAGAACCACTGCTCTAGATCAAACTAAGCTATCTAAGCAGGGCCAGCATTTAGAACGCAATTACTAATTCCAAATCTATCCTGAGGCCGGATGATACACTGGATATATCAGCTCCCCTATACAAATATTATGATCCGTCTGATGAGAGCCAGGGCTCCAGTCTGGATGGCTAATAAATTAGAAGCACGCTTCTCGTTTACTCATCAGAGCTAATGAGGCTGATAAAATTACCTTGAGGATCATAATTACAGGCTAGTGGCAGAAGCGCTAGCACCATATCTGCAACACTTGCACACACACACACACAGGAAGAGAACAAACAGCTCAGCGGCCGCCGCTGGACAAGCAGAGTTTGACCTTTAAAATAAACTGTATGCCAGATAAGTGTGTAATGTATGCTTTTAATTAAACAATTAAACCACGTTGCATTACACTGAAAGCTTGTGCATCGCATTAGCGCACTTTCCACCAAAAACACACAAAAAAACGCTTAAGTACACTCCATTTTCAAATCCATTTTCTGTTAGTGACCTGTGCTTAGCTGGCCTTGATCAAGCAAATATGTAAATGCCATTCAGTTATGCACTGAAAGAGAGACAAGCGCGCGCATGCGTGAGGTTAGCGAGGGTGCATTTAAGCTGGCAGACCGGTTTTGAAATATCAGGCTGGTGACAAACAAGTCGAACCCCAGCATCCTTTATCCCTTCAATTTCATCAGACGGCTCATATACATTAAGCACTTGATCAGTAATGGCATCTTTTGATGGACACGGGCGGCGTGGACGCAAGCGCTCACCTCGGAGAATTTCATTTCATCAGCCATTCACAGGACGAATTGTTTTACTTATGAATATTAATGTCCGCCTAATTTGAGGCTGTTGTTAATGCTTGTCGCTAGAAGCTTGGCAAATCAGGTCCCATTCCTGTTAAAGCCATGTATTAGACACCCCCTGACACTAAGCCCTCGCCTTTGATTCTTAATTGCAGGAGTGCGAGCATTTGCAGGAGATGGGGCGCAAAGCTTTAATTAACTCGAATATCACACGTATTCAGTCTCGACTGTCACCTGCATCACGCGTGGCGTTCTGCACCAATATCCTCCTCGGCTCCTCTCAGCTAGAGAGAGACGGTGTTCCAAGTTCATGATCACAATTTCATGCATCTTAAATTGGGGATGGATGGCCTGTAAGCAGTGGTATGATATTAAATGGGAGTAAATTATCTTAACGCATTTTACTAAAACCCATATTAAATGATGGCTGTATAAACGGACGTTTTACAGCATGAGCAATGATAGGGACAACAATTACGGTTGTGGCGGAGAGCGTGGTGTCGTTTTAATTCAGAACGAGAAGTAAACTGACTGGAAGGCTGGAATAAACCGGGCATTTTGGTTATTGTGACCATTTCCGCATAAATGGGCTTTTCCCATTTAGGTTTTTGGGCTTCACAATTTACATGCAGACATCTGAAATTGAGAATGTAAGCATGAAGCCAGATGTAGCCTACATAAAAATAAAATAAAGCTCTGAATTAGTTTAGGGTACAATAAGAAACTTCATTAAGATTTATTGGGGACTCATTTTAAAAGTCTAATATACAATAAATAAGCACATCCATTTGTAAGCATCTCTCAAGAGAACTTTTAAAACTTAAAACATTCATTCTGTAGGTTTTTCAGACATATTTAAACACCATGTAAAAGACATCTTTGGACAGACTATATTTCTTAGGTAAATTAAATGAGGTACACTTTTAATTGAACTAGGACTTAAAAAAAGAGAATAAAACCAATAATCCATGCCTTTCCAGCACACAAGATCAGCTGCTGTCTGATCTCCAGCTTGATTTAGCATTCTCAGGCATATAAAATAAGAAACTGGAAAACTCTGCCTGTGTGAGCTCATAGTGGCCCCTTCAGGTCACTGCATGCACTGCATCTTTCAAGATCTCTAGATTTAGCAGTTCAATTATCATCATTTTCTTTTTAGGCAGTTAGGGTTAAATTAAGATGCTCCACAGCTTCTTGGATGACAGTCAAGTAGCGTGCTTCAGCCAGCCTTGGGCATCTGTTTGTTTATCTGCCAATATAAGTTACGGTTTATGTCTGAACAAGTGAGGGGGTGGAAGACGACAGGAAAATAATAAAAAATGTTTTTTGAACAATAATAATTCAAACTAGCCCACGCATTTAAAGTAAAGGCAAAAGAAGCATACAGGACCAATATGTTAACTTAAAGCAAATGAATAGAACTAGTATTAGCTTAACCAAATAAGTGAAAATAAAAGAATAAAAGGAAAGTGTTTAAACGGAACATTATTTTGCTCCAAGAACTCGAACTCACTTAATTGCCTGACAGATTTGTTATATTAATCCCACCTCGTTTTAAACCATCTAAGGTCACCTGGAAAGATCTGGACTTCAACAGGCTACAGCAGAACGTCTGGATTACTTCACTCCAGCAGCTCTCAAATTCACTATCCCATAGAGGCTTTTTTACTTCTCCGTCTAAATAACTTTGAGAAGGATGGCTTGCATTTGTTTTTATACTTCTGAAGACCTGCATCAGGAAAAAAAAGAAAGTAGGTTAGAATGTTAAGTTAAAAATGTTCTCTGCTGCTTCAAGCTGAGAGTAGACTTGACAAGATAAAAATGGCAAGAGGAACAAGCTCTCACCCAGTCTTTGCATCATCTCATTCAACTTTTGATCTTCTTCCTCCTCCCTTAAAATTTGACATTACATTCTCAAAGTGTTTCTGCAACTTTTGCATGCAAGTGAAGATTAACCACATTTAAAAGCATGGCATTTGACATGGAGAGTGATAGATGGTGTGGTTTCCTCACCTTATCCTGTCCTCCTCCAGCCCTTCAACAATAGTGTTCCTGTCATTCACTATCTTCATCAGTCTGTTCAACAGCTCAGTTTCCCTCTTCTTCTCATCCAGAGTCTTGAAATGTTCTAATATCCAAATACACATTAAGGCTTCTCTTCAGGCGTTATAAAAAGTGTAAAATAATACCAAGCAGTCTAAGCTAATACCGCTATTACATTTACCCTTTTTTATAGAATAGGCAGTGGCGTAGTGCAAAATCATGGGGCCCTGCCCGCGATCCGCATGTCCGAGGCCCCCCGGAGGGGGTGGGGGGCTGGGAGGGTTTTGGGTATGGGATTTGTTACGTCGCAATATTGGAAATATTTCTGTTTTAAACCATGAAGGCTGCAACGTGCAAACTTTGCACAAGAGTTATGCCGGTGAACGTTTTAACCTCAGTTAATTATACAAAGTGAAAGTAAAAAAAAAAAAAAAAACTGAAGGTGCTTTCGGCATCTGACGCTGCATTAACGGTGCATATTCTCTCAGAGACGACAAGAGACGAATCTACTTCAACATATGTCGATAACGGCATATAACGGTCTTGAATTATTCCTTAATATTTCTCTTGTGGCCCGTACATCGTGAAAAAAAAAAAAAAAAAAAAGAGAAATGTATTTTGCGTTAAACAGGTTATTTTCCAAAGTCAGTGCTTGAAATAAAGCTGCTCTTAATTTTCATTGATGACTGCGTTGTTAATCATTTTAATTACAGGCCTATAATTCATTGTATAAATTAATAGACCTTTTTTTTTATAAATTAATAAAAGACCTTTTTAAAAACATTTTCAATGGAGGAGTAAGCTAATAGCCTAATCTTTTATTATCCTCCCAGCTATGCACTGATGCTCTATGAAATTATTGCGGGGCAGATTAATTGTAATTTAATAATAAATGTAACCTAAAAACAATAACAGGCCTAATAAAAATAATAAAAATAAGAATGTAACAGGCCTACGTCAATAGGAAATGCCAAATCCTCTTAATATTGCAAATATTTGATGCTTTTGACAATATCTCTGGCTATAGTCAACAACATGATTCGACGCAACCCAGCACGGGGTGGTTTTAGTCCGCTACGCCACTGAGAACAGGATTCAGTTGACATTTTTCAATTTTACTTTGTGATTTAACAGGATGTGAAAAGTGATGCGATGCGTAATTATTAAAATCATTACTGATGATTTGAAGCACGGACATGTCAGAGAATTGCTTCCATGTGTCAAAAGAGATCTAAGAATGAGCTTAATTTATAATAGGTGCTAATTTCTAAATGCAGACTTACCATAGCAACCAACGAGTAAAGATAAACCCAACAAACTGTAATTTAAATTTATAATTATTATAATAAAGTTATTTTTACTTTTTTTTTAAATATACATTAAAAAAATCTTTAGACAAATTATGCCCTACACTTTCACTTGCCATTCAAAAAGGCAACACTTCCAGTTTGACATTAATCCAACATGATCACTGGAAGATTCTTCTCAAACCATTTCATTTTATAGACATTGTTCACTTTCCCTAAAATGACCTGTATATTTCTAATGGGAAAAAAGTAACAGTGGTTACCCTGGTTAATTTTCACCTGGTTTACTGATCAATCTCCTGAGCTCTCCTTCTACTCCAGGCTGTTGCTCCTCCAGATCTTGCGTTCTTGCTCTGAAAAAGATTGAGACTGCTGTAAGGACCAGTTTAAGGGTGAACATCTAGGTACAATGGCTATTTTACTCCATTACGTATTTTGTCAATATCAAGCATTCTGAAAACATTTGCATCCAGAAATAGCAGCTGGACCAAAGAGAAACTGAATACAGGGACTACTTACATGTACATCAACTCTGACTCCCTCCGTATGTGGCTTTGTTTTTTCAGAATCAGGTTAAACCAGTCCACCATCAAGGGATCCAACAACAGGTCCCCATGACCCTCTGTAAAACAGTCCAATGTCACAAAGGACACCAAGGTCCTAACTGCACTGTTCATATCCAACCACAAAAGAGACACTCCACCTCGAGCCACAATTTAAAGTGCTCTGGAGACGGGCATCTCCAAATACTCATTTTCAACGTCTATTTGAGCTATGATTGAATTCTATTGGTCTCCTAATAGAGCACTGTAATGTGGTCTAAAAAGCATGTTTTCCATTGACATTGCCTTGAGGTGGTACAAAAAAATATACAAGTACAAACTTAATTTGATCAAGTGGTGGTTTCGGCTTTGGTGGGACCGAGAGGCAGTCAGGTATCTATGAAATCCCACCGGCTGCTAGCAGCAGGACAGGTGACTGGAGCTGCGAGTCTGAAGATGATATTACCACGCCATGGTGACCTTGAAACGAGCCAATCAAGTGCCCTTGCCCCATTCAGCTAGCAGCCTCTCACTTCAGCCCACCACCTCTTCTCCATTTCCATCCCAGCATCCCTCAGGAGGAGAGGGAGCTTCCCCTGCGCCTCGCCTCATTTGGCCCTGGCAGCTGGAATCGAGAGCCCTTTATTGGCCACAGCCTTCCCCTAAAGGCTACATCGGAATTCCGACTCCCAAGTGGACGGGCTCAACTAACAGGTTTGGAATGAGTGTGCGACTCGCAGAATGAACCACACACATATACGGGGCTGTTACATGCCATCTAAAACACATCAAATGGATCTCAAATTGTACCAAAAGGAACATCTGATGTCCCGACAAGCTTTTGTCCTAAACAACCTTGAAAAAAATAAAACATTCAGGACCTTAAACTCAATTCAGACTTAAACTTACAGAAATACGGAATGCTACCATTACATTAACTACATCTAAACTCAAACCTTCTTCATAAATGCAAAGTCTCCTCTCCAACTCCACCCCTTCATTCTCCAGATTGTACAGCTTATTCTCAATGTCCTGCAACTCTTTTGAGATCTGATCTGGTGCGATGTAGCAAGGCTTTATCTGAAAAGACAAACAATGTAAATGAAAACCATAGGTAGGAGATATTTCATTTAGAAAAGGACAGCATTCGACTTTTGCTATAACTTACAGTAGGCAACCTTGTTTCACACAGCAAGCCATTTTTAGATGAAATATTTCCATTGTCGTAACCTAAAGTGATAAACACTGATTTTTAGTATATACGAAAAGCTGAAGGCTAAACGTGGACATCAAACATGCAAAACAGGTTTCAAATAAATAATTCACCAAAAAAAAACAAAAAAACATTTCACAACTTCAACAGATTGACCAATCCTCGTTATCCATACAAGTAAACTGATTTACTAACTTTAAGTTGAAAATAAAAATAATAAATAACAATAGCATTACAGTAAAATAAATCACACACACACACACACACACATATATATA